ATAAATTTACATTTTTAGATAATATCTGTACATAATTTATACTCATTTCGTCCCAAAAACTTGAAATTTGTTACAAATTAATTTTTATTTTTTTATTTTTTAAGGTTGGTATTTGTTTCTTACTTTAACTCTATTATTATCCTTTTACTATAATTATTATTCTATCACAAAAAGTGTTTTTTTATTTTTTATTTTTTAAGGGTACATGCATAAATTACCCCTCAATTCTTAATTTAGAAAACAAGTAAACAAGTTACTGATATTTTAGCACAGAGGGAGTAAATATATCATCGGTAGAGTTTTCTTGATAAAACTAGAATTTATTTTAACAATAAAATAAAAAGTAGAAGTTTATTGAATATTGAGATATTCTAATTTAGAAGTCTTTCCTTTCATTAAAAATAAAAAAAAGTTTTTACTTGAATAAAATAATTAATTTAGGAAATAATTAATTTAAGTTTGAAATTTCTCTAATTCTTGAAATACCAGGAACTGTTTGGAATTTTTGTGTAATGTTGTGGCTGTTTCTATACAAACTATGTTCACGTTAATTAAATAATTTTAAAAAGTGGAACAAAAACAAATTTAAAAGTATTACTATTCCTCTAAACAAGTACTACTACAATACACAAGATATTGAACAAAATTAATTTAATTTTAACAAATTCATATTTTTAATATTGACTGATTGTATTATTAGTATGTCTAATTTGAGTGGAGAGAAGGTAAGGAAAGAAAAGAAAATTCTTTTATTTAGTTACTAAAAATATTAAAAGAGATAAAAGGGGAATAGTCCCTCCTTCCCATTTCTCTTAAACCAAGAGTATTGTGAAAATAATATCAAACGCACAGAATTCTTTTTAGTTCTACTTTATAAAAGTAGTTAGCATTGTGCATAGGGTTTAGGGTTCTCCGCTACCTAATTGTACACTATGCGAATTAATTGAATTTGTAATGTTTTGGAGTAAAGTTCAAAGTGTTAGTGGAGTAATGAATTTATTTTAAGACTGATTTTCCTTTTCTTGTTTCAGTTAATTTATTCTTATGCATCTTTTTTGGTTATAGATTTCAGACAGAAGAATCCAATCGAAAATTCACCTCTGTTGCGATTCTAGACTCTTTCTCCATGGAATTTCTTGAAATAATAATCCCATCATTGATAGATAAAATAGAACTGCATGCTAATTCCCACAAAGAATTGAGCCAGGTGTTGGAAGATATTCGGGAAAGAGCAAAGAAGAATCCTAGAAATTTCGAGTCGAGTGAACTTCTGACTCAAATTTGCAGTGTGGAGGATACCATTGACTCCATCATTGCTACAAAAGTGCTGCAGAGACAAAATATCTCCATCAAGAAGGATCCTGTAAAATATTTTTCAATTGCAAAAAGCAGTGTCAAATTTCCTCACAAGTTGCACAGGCAAACTAAGGAGCTAAAAAACATATTGAATGATTCCTTGTCTGCCCCAGTTCCAGGAGAGAAGTTACCGAGCAAATCAGATGCCGTAGAGGTTCCAGCAAAGAAGTCCTCTAGTAACACAGTTCCTCAAAAGAAGTCCTCTAAAGATGCTGCAGTTTTATCAAAAAAACGAAGTATTTCAGGGGGCATTCAAGTCTCATCAGGAAACAAAGATGATGGGAGGGACAACAAGGATTCAGATGAAAGATATGATCAGAGTTGGGAGGAAGGGTGTGTCCCAATTGTCTTGGAGGAGTTAGTAAAGTTAGCTCAACCAGTACTCCTTAGCAGGCGGATGAGGCCACTTCTCTTTTTGAAAACCAATTTGGAATACCCGAGTGATGCAATTTTCTTGTGGACTTCCTGCCATTCTTCTGTTACTGAACAACATTTTCAGTTTTGCTGTTGGGTTCTTGTTTCTAAAGAGTCAGAAGATCGAAATATCTTAAGTGATATTTTGAAACAAGTTCCTTCTATTAAGCAGGAAGAACTCGAGCTGTCAAATCAGTTACTGAGGAAGCGGCTTCATGATTTTTTAGTTTTTGAAAGGTACTTGATAGTTTTATATGGTGAACTAAGAGACGATGTTTGGAACAGTCTCAAATGTGCTTTTCCCTACTCATTGACTGGTAGCGGAGTGTTTCTCATCCATAGAGGAATCACTTCAATCAATGTTTCAAAGGAATGGTCAAGCCAACAGCTAGGGAAGTCTAAAGATTATTTGCTGGAGGAATCTAGAATTCTTGGCATGAAGGATATTATGACTGAGTTATACCAGTCAATCCTAAATCAGTATAGATTGTTGTTTCTCATTTCCATTGTTGGGGTGGCAGAATCAGAGAAGACAACTTTTTTGTGGGATATGTACAATGCAGAGAGTATTAAGCAGCAATTCCAATACCGTGCCTGGGTTCGTATTCCGAAGTTTGAAGAAAAAAACGTTCTAGCTGATATTTTGGAACAAGTTACACATGACAAGGTAGAAGAAGAAGACCTTCACCTGGTGACACTACAGAAGAAGCTTTGCAATTTCCTAGCTGCAAAGAGGTACCTTATAGTTTTATATGATGTTTGGTCGGCTCATGTTTGGGACAAACTCAAACAAGCCTTTCCCAACTCCATGAATGGTAGCCGGGTGATTCTAACCGTCCATGAGGCTGATGTGGCTAGGCAAACCAATTCTTCTTGGATCTTGGGAACAGTTTGTGGAAAAGAGTTGCTGCATGAAAAGGTTTCAAATCTAAAAGTTAAACATAGGTGGGGAAGATTCTCTGATGTTAAGGCTAATGAGTCGGGTCTTGATGGACTGGATGATAAAGTGCAGGAATTGGGTGAACTGCTACTTGAAAGTCATCAATTTCTAATCTCAGTGGTGGGTGTGAAGGGCTCTGGCAAGACAATGCTTGTGCACGCAGTTTACAGTAGTTTAGCAATTAAGCAGCATTTTGAGTGTCGAGCTTTTGTTTCTGTTTCTCAAGTATTTGAGGAGAGAAAACTCTTGGCAGACTTATCAATGCAGCTGGGAATGGTGCTGAAGGATGAGAACTGGTCCAAAAAGGAATTACAAAAAAGACTTAGAAGTTTCTTGGCTTGGAAGAGATACCTAATAGTTTTAGATGATGTCTATGCAGCTGATGACTATACAGTTGATGTCTGGGAAAGACTCAGTCCTGCTTTTCCAAATTCATTAACTGGGAGTAAGGTGATACTCACTACTCGTGATGCTCAGGTGCCACACAATATTAAACCACATACCGGAGTCATCCAACTACGTTTTCTAAACGATGATGAAAGTTGGGAATTGTTTAAAAGGAAGGTACCAGCAGTTGTACTAAATGCAGAATTGATTAAAGCTGTCAAAGAAAAGATTTTGCAGAGATGTGGCGGCCTGCCTCTTGATATAGTTGTACTTGGAGGTTTGCTGTCTACCAAGGAACCAGACATCTCAGTATGGTCTAAATTCATTGATCAAATCAGTCAAAAGAAAGAAAAAGACAGGAGGGTAACAGATCAGCCATATTCTTTCACCCAACATGATTCATCAGATACCAAGCTGGAAGAGAAAAATGGTAAGGGGGAGATTGAGCAAATAGGTCCAAGTGAAGCTCCACCGATGCAGGAAGAAGAAAAGGTGAAGCATGGAGCAACAAAAGAAGATCAGGAACCTTTGCCAAATCAATTGCCTTCATCATCAGATACCAAGCTAAAAGAAGACAACAGGATCTTGGAGAGCCAGACTACTTCTCTTGATCAAGATCAATCAGATTCCTCAGATGAAACCCTCTCAGGTAATTTGGCTTTAGGCTATCAAGACCTAAATGCCCATTTAAAGTTCTGCCTTAATTATGTAGGCCTCTTTCCCAAACCATACAAGGTTCCTTTTAGGAGGTTGTTTCAACTATTGCAAGCTGAGGGATTGTTGAAACAAGAAGCAAACAAAGAAAGTTTTGAAGTGCAGGTGAAGAAATACATTGAAGACTTAGAAAAAAGAAACATGATTGAGGTAGAAAAACAGAAGTCAAATGGGAGCCCCAAAACCATTCGTATGCAAAGTACTATATATGATACATTGTCTCCACGAGCATTGAGAGCTGGATTGTTTCACTTTCACTTCAACAATGATAAGAGAGATGCTCCCAAAGAGTACATCCGAAGACTTGCAGAACACCAAGAGATCAGCTATGACAGGCTTCCAGAGCAGAGCCGTCAGCTACGTTCTTACATTTCATTCAGAACGGAAGAAAGTGATCTACCTGCATCCAGAGTAGATAAACTTCTTAAAGGGATTGTTAAGGGAGGCTTTGGATTACTTGTCATACTTGATTTGGAAGGAGTCTACCAACCAGTGTTACCTAAACATCTAGGCAAATTTCCCAATCTCAAGTATTTGGGTTTAAGATGGACTTTTTTGGATTCAATTCCAGATTCAGTTGGTGACTTGCTTAGCCTTGAGACTTTGGACGTGAAGCATACTAATATCATCACTTTACCTGGTGAGTTCTGGAAGGCAAAATGTCTTCAACATCTTTATATGAGCGATATTTGTATTGATACATCTATTCCAAGGGCCCGTCAAACAAATGGATCGTTAACCAATCTTAAGACTTTATTGGGTCTGGTGATCCACAATGAGAAGACTGTCGATTATTTGAAGGAGGCAAATGGTCTTAGAAAACTGGGAGTAACATGTTATGAAAAATCAATTGAAGAGATAGTAGGGTGGATTTCTAAGTGCACTCAACTTCAATCCTTGGAGTTAAGGTCAATAGACAAAAGCTGCAAACGTTCTTCGTTGAAATTAGGGAACTTAGGCCATCATGATAAGCTATCACAGTTATATTTGTTTGGAAAACTAGAACTTCCAGAGAAATTTGATTTTGGCACATTTCTCCCAAATCTAGAGATCCTTACTTTGGCAGTGTCAGAACTGTCGGTTGACCCAATGGAAGAACTAGGAAAGCTGGGGAACCTGAAGATCCTGAGGCTGCACGCCGATTCCTACATGGGGAAAACAATGGAATGTGGTCGTGGCACTTTCCCAAAGCTTCAAGTCTTAAAATTGTGGATGCTTGAGGAGCTCGAGAAATGGGAAGTGAAGGAGGGAGCCATGCCTGCCTTAGAAGAAGTTGAGATCAGATGCTGTAAGAAACTCAGTAATACTGATGGATTGAAGAAGTTAACCACTTTGAAGGAATTGATTTTGACAAGTATGAAGCAGGATTTTGTGAAGGAGATTAAAGAAAGCCTAGGCAGCAATGTGTCAGTCAAAGAGAACAACGACTGGAAGTTTTCTTCTACCTGGGTGAGTTCCTCTCACATGGTTTACCTTTGGATTTTTCCTTTCTTTTCTTTTCTTTTTTTTTTTTCCTTTTTTTATCCAAATTAATGTATGAAATTAAGATGACACTACCTGAGATGAGAATGTTTTTTTCATGGCGGACTACACTTAAAAACATTTATTAAGAGTGGGAAAAGATAAAAATGCTATTAATGAATCTTAATGCATTTTTAATTCATTAGGTGTATTTTTGTCTTTTCTAATCCCAAACTAATGTTTCAAGTGCAAGGCCCACTGTAAAAAAACATTTGTGCATAGTAATCACTGGTATATTTTCTTTTGCTTGAGATGCTGTAATAGAAAGAAAGAGAGTTCTGCAAAATTAAAGTCTTTTCTTTTAATTATCTTTGTTTTTATGTTTGGAAAAGAGTGCACAATAAGGCGAAAGCATGGTTTAAATGGAATCAACAGCATAGCATCTACAAGTGGAAATCAAGTTAGAGGAGTGATCTCTGGATTTCAGTGGGGGATGAGTATCTTCATAATGACTTTATGCTGGTGTCAAAAGCAGGGATCTCGCCATGCATTGGTCTAATTTCTTTCTCTATATATCTAGTGTGATATCGATTTGGCTCAAAAAAGCTTTGTGGGAGGAAATTTATTAGCACATCCTTTTCATTTGTCAGTTGTTTTTCTTGTATTGTGCTTGGATAATGATAGTTAGAATCATTACTCATTGTGCTATTTCAAAGCATCTGTCTATTTAATGCTGATCTGTATAAAATAGCAGTGGAGCTTGTAGAACCAAAATTTTAATCCTTTTTAATTATCTTCTATAGATATGAAAATGGACATAATTTGTTAGTGTATACATAGAGTACCAACAAAAGTTCAAGGGTACTGGTACGTACTAACAGATTAAAAATTTTGATTTATGAAAATAATATAGTGACAATATTACGTTATATTATTTTTTTATAATTATAAAATGTTATTACTTGATTGACCATTTTCATCTAAGAGTTTACCCATTGCATGCATTTATTCATTTAATGATATGTTATGATTATAAATTTATAATTTTATGTAACATTGTAATTATAACATTCGTGATTTGATTTATAAATTGTTTGGTTTGATGGGACGAGCTTCCCTTTAATTTTTTTTTAATATAATTTTAGCATAACCAAATAAGAGAAGGGAAGGGAAGCAAAGGGGAATAGAAGAATATTGTCTCCCATCCCCACCACTGTCCTTAGTTTTCTTCAGTTAGTTAAGATTAAAAGTTCAAACTCTTATAATACTAACAAATAATTGTACCTGTACCAAAAAACAAAAGTTAGTCTATAGAGTAATAATAACAATAAAATAATTAATTAATAATAATTAAATTTTCCTGTCATTAAGATCCAAATACAAAAAAGGAGACTAAAATACTTTGTATGCTATGAATCAAATTTACTTTGATGGGTGTTTCACCTTCTACACTTTATCTTCTTCACCTCTCACTTCTTCCATGCAATTATAATTGGGATTAACACCTCCATAATTGAATCTTGGAGATTAATTGGGAATAAATCATCCTTAAAGAAATAAAACATTCTTGGAAAAAAAAAAGCATCCTTGGAGGATGGTGATAAAGTGATATTTCTTCAATATGAAGTCCATAAAGGACTAAAGAATGAATATTTGATGATGAATTATTCATTGAAAATTTTGAATAGTTTGGAAGATGACCACAAAAAATTAGTGTATTTTCCAAAAACTAATTATGAATGGATCTATTTATTACTTACTATGAATTTGCAAACATTTTGAATTACTTTATATGAAGAAAATGATTATTGATGAAGACATATTAAATAAGATATATTCTATTTTTCATGATTCAAGTATGATCTAAAGTAGCAATATTGAGAGAAACATTTTAGATGTATTCAAAACTAATATCATGTCTTCTTATTGCTAATCAAAATAATGAGAATATTGGAGAAAGGTGGTCAAATATTTGAGAAATCAAAAATACATCCCAAGGAGAGTGTAAAAGGGACTTATCTTTTCTAACTTGAAATTGATGTATCCTTAATTAGTAAGGGTCTATCCAAATTGATGCTTTTCTTCACAAGAAGAGTGTAAAAGAGACTTGTCTCTTAGTGAAAAATGGAAAGAAAAACGAAGAAATGTGTTTGAGTTGAGTCCTTCATGAATACACAGAATCAAAAGATGAAACTTTCCTAACAATGTAAGTTTCTTTTTTATTATTATTTTTTAAAAAATTTTCATAAGTATATTGGATGAAAGGCTATATAACAAAGGATGACTCTCCCCTACCCATAACCCTTCCCAACTATCCCATGATTCAAACTTGAGATCTCCAAGATAAAGACTCAAGTTTTTAATTTTAATCTCTAATAATAATCATAATATATTGCAAAAATGAAAAGAAAATGAGTTTTGTTAAGAGTTTCAAATTCTATAAAAATCAAAACCAAAATCCCAAAACCACAATCATATTAAACAAAGTCTAGATTGTTGTGTCATTTAAGATTTTATACATGGACAACTTCATTTTCCATGTTAGTATTAATAATTAAAACAAATAAAATATTTAACTGGAAACAATGTCATGTCATCATTTAGCTTTCGGAGTGACACACAAATGGCCAAAAAAGTAATTTTAAAGGACCCAAAAAAAAAAAATGCGCCAGAAAGATGTTGAGGACCAAAATAGAACTATTTGAACCTTTTTTTACTACCTTTTGTTTAACTTTAGATGTTATACTTTCAATTTGAGGCATTCAAATTTGATTGTTCATTTTTCCATTTGATGATATCATTTAATATTTCTATTCTATGTTACCCTTATTTTAAAATGATAATTATAACAAATATTACCATAAGTATACTTATTTAGGTAGGGATCAATGAGGGATAAATATATAAAATTTTATCAATTAATTATTACTTTTTGTGTCTTAAAATAAATGTATTAATTGTTATTTTTCATTTTTTAGGGTAGAAAATAAATTTTTTTTCTTAGTTTAACCATGTTATTATTTATTTAGTTTAATTAATCATCTTATTACAAAAATTTTAAGAGTAATGAAGGTAAACGTATAAATTGTCCTTAAATCCCTAATTTGAAAAAGAGAAACAAAAAGTGACTGTTATTTTGAGACAAGGAAAGTATATCTCTAATTTAAAGCAACTAAAGTTGATTAGAGATTATCCTTTCTAACTTGAAATTGATGCATCCTTAATTAGTAAGGGGTTGTCCAAATTGATGCTTTTCTTCACAAGGAGAGTATAAAAGAGACTTATCTCTTAGTAGACCTGGCAAAAATCCACCCGACCCGTCAACCCGACCATAACCCGACCCTTAAAAAATGGGTTAGGGTCTACATATCTCAACCCGCAACCCGTAGATAACCCGTATTATCAACCCGTACGGGTCACGGGTCGGGTTAGGGTCAACCCGCGGGTTGACCCATTTGTCTTATTTTTATTATTATTTTTAAATATTATACTTATCATCCTTAATTAATTTTCCTATTGATAACTCCTTCTATTAATTCA